GGAAGGTAGTGATTCAATTCGTGTGGGACACCCTGGTTTTGTAACGCTCCTCCTCTTTACAACAGGTATCGTCACTCTCCTGAGTCTTAACACAAAGTTAAAAAAAGTCATCACATGAACAGCCAGAAAAGTTCTGGTGCAACACCCTTCCCAAAGGGACACTCCTGACACTCCAAAGTCCTTTGGCATAGATTTATAAAGAATACAGCAGCTATATAGCTGTAATTGCTCTAAAGGTCACAAAAGTTTCCTTTTACATCTGAAGTAGATATAAAGGGTAAAGGGATCTATTTTTTTAAAGAGAAACCATTAACTTACAGCAAATAAATGTCCAATTGCAACAGAAAATCCAATTGCCAAAGCTACTGAACCAGTGACATCACTTCGTTTTGAATCACAGCTAGCAAAAATAGTAAAAACCAGCTGGAATGTAATTATCAATTCCACCAGGAGTCCATGCCCAGCAGAAAGATCTCGGTGTACCTGGAAGAAGGCAAAGAAACACCAAAAATGAAGAAAAGGTGATTTTGTAAATCAGAAAGCCATCACATGCACAGATTGTATTTCAATGAATGGTATTTCTAAATAGTACAAGGTGAAATACAACAATGAACTTTTAGAGGTACAGATTTCCCCCCTCTTCACTCTTCTCCCTATTTTTTTTTTTTTACTTTAAAATGGTTTTTGATTTTGAGAAACATGGAAAATCAATGAGGACTGAGAACAGAAGGCTTAATAGTAACACCCAACTGGAACTTCAAAGTTAGACTGCAGAAGTATAGTTTATTTTTACGCAGGGATTTGCAAATGCTGCACTTCCCTTTCACCATTTTTTTTTCCTTGGGATCACTGTAATTTACTATTCAATTATAAATTCATTAATTAGCCCTGACTTAATTAATTTAAATTTCAATTAAAAATTAAGCAGTGTGTGGCTCAAGTGCATTTTTAATAAGTCCTGCAACAGGGCTAACTGATGGCATTCCTTATTAGTTTAGAACAAAGCTGAAATCTAAGCCACAATCTATTTCAAAAGTATGTCATTTTAAATTGATGTTTTTTCAATCCCCATCATAATAGCATGGAATTAATTTCCCCCTTCCCCAGACCATATAAAAATGGCATTTCACACATATATTATTTAAATTTTGCATATAAATTAACACTACCTGCTGTCATCAGATTTGGGGACGTTCTAGGAAAGAGAGCTTCTATAAAAAGATCAGCTATAGCTATTACATCGCATAAACCCATCCTAAGGAGAGCTTTAAGCCCTGTCTGGATGTTGTAAACAAACCAGCAAGATGTGAAAATCTGAGCTCTCCTCATTCTGTGTGACACTGATCCTATTTTCTCAGGGTCTGAGCCAGCCTAGTTCAGGAGGCAGAGGAGAAGTGCTTACCGCAGTGACTCCCAGGCCTCCCACCACGCTGGGCGGTGTGACGAGGTAAAGGATGCCCGCGCCCACGATGGCTCCCAGGCACTGCGCAAGAATGTAGAAGACGGACTTGGCAAGGCTGATCTTCCTCGTGCAGACCATTGCCACGGTCACAGCAGGGTTAATGTGGCCTCCGCTGATGTGTCCAAAGCACTGCACCATGGTGGCAATGCTGAGTCCAAAGCAGAGGGATATAAGGACCATGTCTACAGGCAGGGGCTTCTCTGCTCCACCCCAGTTAATTGTGGAGCCGAGGCTGAGGAGGACAAAAATGAGCATGGCCAAAAATTCTGCTGAAACGGCCTTCCAGAAGGGCTGAGTCCAGACTCCTTTAAACGCCACCATAATTCTCTCACACTTACACAGACGTCCACACTTACTGAAAAGGAAAGCAAATCTTCGTCAGAAGTCATCAAGTAAACCTTACACTCTCCTGTTAGGAGCTGCTCTTCAGCAGACTTTGGAGAGAAGGTGGCAACACTGAGTATCCTTATGCTGGGACAACCACAGATGACACTCTTAGAGGAGACTGCCCTTAAGACATGCCCAGTGTTGGAGTGTCTGCAGGACACAGGGTAATTAATCCCTCCTTGCAATAACTCTGTATAGTTTCAGCTCCCAAAAAGCAACATCCGTGTATTTTGAAATGATCATGAAATTAAGTGTAGTCTTTTATGCTAAATGGCCTCTGATTTAGAGGCTGTATAGCTCTACCACTTCCAGTGGCCTGTTGATCATGACGTTCATTAAAACAGTGAGTATCCTTTTTCTACACAAATCTGTAATTTCCATAAAGCAGGTAAGATAATTCAATAAAAAGCAGTATCTTAGTTGAAGCCTAGTGGTTTTGATGACAGTGTAGTGTTGGGAAGTTGCTCTTGGAAACAGAACATAAGTTTATTTGTTTGAACCCTCACACAGACCAGTATTTCAATTTATATTTATTCAAAGAGCAGTTTCTTCAGTGTGGATAGTGGGTGGAAATTGAATTCAGGCAGGAGAATAGATGCAATCCTACATTCTGACCTTTAAATCAATCGTGTAATCAATAAAATGCTTTCTTTTGGGCTAATGGTGCCAATTGAGCTGGGGAATAGAGCAATATTTTCTGCATGTGTGGTGTGTAAAACTCTGCATGGCAAAGGAAGTAGTGTTTTGGCTTTTTTTCCTGTCTGGAGATGCTATTTATTAGTCTACACTGCCTTCCTGATGAGTTACAATTTTGCTAGATGTTCAGATACCTATGAAAGTGGGTCACCAAAGAAAAGTTATTTGTGGTATTAATAAATTAGGAGAATAAGCCAAAAGGGAAGCATTTTAATTAGTTTCTAAGGAATGCTAAAAAGATTCTTCTCTAAAAACAAAAGCAAGGAACATCCGACCCATTCAAAAATTAGGAAACAAAAGAAAGAATATTCAGCTGCTACATTTGGGAACAGAATTTCAAGTGGAAGATGGATGAATTTATGCTCAGTTATCTATGGTAACTGAGCTACAATGCATATTTAATACCAGTTACATCAGAAAGAAGCATAAAAGGCATGTCTGCCCTTTTCAAATCTTTGCAAGAGGAATGGTCCATGAATTTCTTAACAGTTGCAGTGAGTAATGGAAAAGCAATTTAATGCTGTGACAGGAGCAAATAAGTTGTTTCCCCAACTCATTTCCTATGCTAATTTACTCTGTATTTTGGATAGGCTTTTTGAGCTCTATCTCAGTTCTCTAGACCCTCAGATGAGAATAATTACATTCTCTCCTAAAAATGGCTCTTGTGAAGTGCTTATGAAGGGATCTGAGACACTTGAACGAGACATATTCTTCTAGAGAAGTGAAGCCAGAACCTCAAAAGAGAAGAAAGTAATCCCCAAATCTTCTGATTTTAAGTCTAACTCAAGACAAATGGAAAGATGTTTTCGTAAGGTCTTATATTAGCAGTCAGTTAATGACCAACCATCCAGACTAGACTTTTTGTACAAAATGAACCCAAAATCATTGCCTTCCTCAAAGTTGAAGGTCACAGGTATTTGTGACCTTCAGCTTTGAACCCTATGCCCAGATTCGCACTGATGCTTCCTCACAAAAAATTTACCTTAGTGACCTGAGTAAGATACAGGTATCCATACTGAGAAAAGCTCATTTTCCCAGGTCCCTGGGCATGTTCCAGGTGAAGATAGGGATGCCCATGGAAAAGAAACCTGGGACCTGGGTGCACAGACAAGGGAAGCAGCACTCAGCTACTCTTTTATCCCTCAGCTCAGCTGGGATGTAACCTGGATTTCCCTGTGCAAGCCCTGGTGTTATAGTCAAGAGTTTTGAAAGATTTCCAGACACCAAGGGCACTATGGGGGGAATGTAGGTTTATGGAGCATGGGGACTCCTGATGTTTTTGTTCAAATGTGCCTGTCTCTTTCTGTACTCAGAGAACAGCAAGATCAGCAAATTAATTACACACCTTCATCCCAGAAAGTGGGCAGAAAAAGGTGTTTGTATTTGGCATTAAGATGATGCAGTTGACTTCTCACTGATTGTGGAACATCTTGGAAAATCACCTTAGGAGTGCGTGTGTGTGTGCACATGCATGTGGAAGATCACACCTTCTACTGGACTGATGGTGGGCCTGGCTAGAAGGAGGCTGCTGCTGAAAGATAGATCTCAGATTGTTTCTTCAGATGAGAGCAAGTGCAGTCAATTCAGTCAATATTATTTGTAGCCCTGAAAATGCAGAAATACTGCATGCAAGCCAAATCTTCAAACACAAAAGCTGGCTCACAACATAAGTTTTGTTTTTCTGAAACATGCTACATAAAACTCTGTCAGCCATATTTACAGTTAACATCTATTTTTAATCCATACCTTTTTTTTTGAAGCAGTCTGTTTTTCTATGATTTCAACACCAAGCAAAATGCTCAGCTGTGACAGCCAAATTTCTCTTTTAAACTGCACACCTTTCCTCCCTACAGAAAACCCCCCTATAAATGTTAATAAAAGCTTAATACTATGTTTGAGCCCTGAGCCCAGGTTTTCACTTAAATCCAAAGGCAATCAGCAACTCAGAAACCAAAATCATCTCAAACATCCACTATTTGTTGAGCATACAGTTAGATTTAAAGGTTGGAGATAAGACAGAGTGATGGCTGTGACAGGTCTGAAATTGAAATGGGACATCTCAGCAGCTAAGATTTGCAATCAAAATTGCAAAAAGTAGGGTTTTTTTTGAGTAGTTGTTGTTCACGCTTTCCTTAGATAAATTCAAAATATGACAGAAAACCACTTTAATGTGATGGTCACACATTAATTTCACAGGTGGGCACACTGGAAATTCTCTGGTCCGGGCTACAAGATTACACAGTAAATTGTGTCTGATAGGATGCAAGGTGGGTTTTGCAGATCACATTGCCAGCAGGGTTTCAGGCGTGATGATGGCTTCAAAGCCATAACAATGTAAATAATAAAAAAGGTTTTGGTACAAAAGTCAAACCGTATTTTAAAAATTCTTCGTTTTCTAAAAAATATAATTTCAAGGAGCAGAGCACACACCCTGGACGCAGGCTGGCGGCCAGCCACTCCACAGGACACTGCTGTCACACTTAAGTTCTGTGCGTGCAGTGGCTATTTACAGCGGCATCTCCGCAGCAAGCTCCCACGCTGCCCGACCTGAGCTTGCACCGCCGGCTGGAGCTCAAATGGACATCGGGCACCTGCCGGCCAACTTTGAGGGAGGAGGGCGACACGCCGTTGTTGCAAAACCAATGCACGGTCGCAGGGCTTGCTTTGTAATAATTTGGCCTCGTTTTCCAGAAAGCTGTTAAATGAGCGACTGGCATGGATATCCACAGGAGGTGGGGAGCTTGGGAGCCCAGAACCGCAACTTTTTCGCTGTGCCGTCCCTGGGCTTTCTCCACACACGACACACTATTGCAGGACCGCAAGTGGACGACAGAGTTTTAACATGTGGAAAGAGATTGTGAGTTTGCTTCTCGCTGCACCCTTCACACCTCTGATATTAAAACTCCAGAGCGACCGACAGGCTCCGATAGTGCCTTCGGGAAGAAGGAGCTGCTGCCTGGCTACCATCCCTCAGTGCAAAACGCAGGAGAGAGGCAGCAGCGCGGAGCCTCACACCTGGCCGCGCACTCCTGCCGGCGCCGCACAGTCCCATCCCGCGGCCGCGCACCCCCCGCGTCCCAGCTTTCCATAAACTCGTCTCTGGTTTGGGGGGGGCTGTCCCCGCCCGCCTGCCTGTCTCCTGCCTGTCTCTTGCCTGTCTCCCGCCTGCCTTCCCTCCCTCCCCTCTCCGCGCCCCGCGCAGAGCCGCGCACTCACCCGCGGCGCGGAGCGGCCGCTCCGTCGCTCATGCCTCCCCGGCGGGCGCGGTGAGCGGCGGGGCCGGGCGGGGGCCGGGGCGGGGGCCGGGACCTGGGCCGGGACCTGGGCCAGGGCCGGGGCGGGGGCGGGGGCCGGGGCCGGGGCCGGGGCCGGGCGGGGGCGGGACGGCTCCCGAGCCTGCGGCGGCCGCGCTCCGTTCCCTACCTGCTGCGCCGGGCGGGCGGGCGGCACTCGAGGAACGGGCGCCGGAGCACCGGCTGCGGGCCGGCTGCGCTCATGTGCCCCTGCACAGCAAGGCAGGGGTTCGCGGCTGCCGGGCACAGAGAAGCCAGAGCGCTGTGCTCCTGCGGCGCGGGGCCGCCCGGCAATGGGGAGGACTCAAAGGCTGCTCAGTTTCTTCTCTGCCACTCACTGTATTGAAGGGAACATAGCCCTAGCAGCTCAGCAGCCAGGGAATTTTATCCATCTAAAATGCCTATTAGTACCTTACTAGAGCTCTGCTGGTTGGAAAATCATAGAATCATAGAATATCCTGACTTGGAAGGGACCCACTAGGACCGAGTCCAACTCCTGGCTCTGCAAAAGACAGCCCCAAGAATCACACAGTGTGCCTGAGAGCATTAACCAAACATCTCTTGAGTTCTGGTGCTGTGACCACTTCCCTGGTGAGCCTGTTCCACTGCCAAACCACCCTCTTGGTGAAGAATCTTTTTGTAGTGTGCATCCTAAGCATCCCCTGGCACACCTTCACACTATTCCCTCTGGTCCTATCATTGGTCACTGCAGGGAAGCGATCAGTCCACTGCCTCTCATGAAGAAGCTCTAGACTGATGACTCCCCTCAGTCTCCTTTTCTTCTGGCTGAACAAGTGACCCCAGCCACTCTGCATAAGGCTTCCCCTCTAGGTCTTTCACCCTCCTTGTAAACCTCCTTTGGATTCTTTCTAATAGCTGTATATAATTCTTATATTGCGTTTTGTTTGTTGAAGTTGCTTAATTGAATGAAGTTTTGACTAGTATGAAATGCCAAATGGAGGCCAATGGAAAATAGTGTTTAAATTAGACTGTGATGCTGTCTGTTGAGGAAATTCTCATGGTCATTACTCAGTGCCTCTACAGCATGAAAACAATTAAATGCAAAACAGCCCTGCATGTAATAAGAAAAAACACAATGTTGCCTAGGGGCCCAGGCACAACTATTTCATTAGAGAATGCACAGAAACTGTCACTTGAAGAAGACATGGTTGAGAATGGAACAAACTGTATAGAAAATCTGGTTTAGACCTTTGTATGCTGTAGAAGAGTATGCTCATAAATTATATGGAATACTTTGTAAGGAACATGTTCAGCTGTAAAATGAGGTTAAACTACAGATAAAGCCATGCATCAACAGTGAAAAATCAAAGTTTGTCATGACCAGCCAGGCTGTAAAAGACACATTGTACCAGATAATCCTTCTAACCATGAGTAAACAGTGCCAGACCAGAGCTACTCCAGGAAACCACAGACAGAAAGTCCCCCCTGAGCTTCTGCTAAAAGATATAGACAATAATTTGTAACAGTGCAAAGCAAGTATAAATGTGCAACACTATCAATTAAGGATGCCCTAGACATCCTTACATCCTTATATGTTGCCTACAAGTTTGTAGACACAGCAATAAAAAAGTCATATCCATATGTTAAATGCTTACCAATCACAGTTTATTGCAAATACAGGCTACCATAATGTACAAATGTAGGTGTTTCTCTCAATTTGCCCACTTCTCCGCTAGAGCTATGTCATAAAGGAAGCCAAGAGACACTCACAGTTTGATGGCAAAAGAGAAGCTGCAGGCTTGATGCTTGCTTTTTTTTGTTTTCAAGCCTCACTTTATTTGCGTATGTCTTGAGCTTAGTCAAGGGATGGGCGGGGGGGGGGTGGTGGTTGTGTACGGTCATCATTACACATCTCTGCTCTTCCATTTGCTGTCTTTCAGTTTTCAATCTAAGCCCTTCACCTGCTACAGTGATTTCAGAAAAAAACTCACTTGTTCTTTGGCACTTTGTGGACTCTGCTCCTCTGGCATGTTTGTTTGTTCACAAAAAAAAATCACTTAGCAAAACCAGTAATTGCTTTTCCTTTTCTGGCAGATAGCGTATATCTGCTCTTTTTGATCTGCAGAGCAGATCACTGCCACACGGAGAAGCCAGAACATTAATAGCTTCTGTCACTGCTACCATTCTTATTGTGAAAGATCTTCTGGAGGATTAGACAAAGGTTGTGGCCACATAAAACAGAGAAAGGCAATGCTTCGGGCACAAACCTGGAGCGAAGTGTGCTGTGCCAGCTCTGATCAAATAAACAGACTATGTTCTGTTGAAAGCACAGAAGGCAAGGAAGACATCCCTTGAGATGGCACTGAAAATCAGAGGAAAGCTGCCCCAGTTTATCCAGGGGTAAATTTGTCAGTGTTGGGAGCTGGGGTCACATACGTTCTTTTTTTGTTTGTTTGTTTTTTATAGTTTTCTTCTTGTTTTTTCTTATATATTGTCTTCTTTATAAAATTTGGGTTAACTCATTTTGGACTTCTATCCAACAGTGAAATACTCCTGCTACTGTGCTCAACATAGTTAAGGAAAAGACTTACAAAAGGGTATTATGAAAAATTTAAAGATGGTGTTAAAACTTAATCCATGTCAGGGTGGGAGGAAATGTGCAGAGGAATCTTGCTGTGCTTCAGCTTCTCCTTCACTGAACATTAAGTCTGAGTTTCTACAATAATTTCTAGGCCATCATGAATTAAAGATGGAACTTAAGCCATGGTGAGAACATGCAACACATAAGACATCCCCATTCTGAACAAGAACTTCCCAGACAGCTGAAGCGTGCTGGATCTGAGGTTTCAGTTTGGTCGGTTATGGAGGAGAGGGCACACTGCCAAAGTCAGAGAGGAATGTGCAAACAGCTAATTCCAGCTAAAACAATATGAAGGAGAGGGGCAGCAAAACTGCCAGCACTAGACTCTGTCATCTCACTGAATAGCAATGTGGGAAGAGTCCCTTCACTGCTATGGCAAATCTTATAGATACCCATCCTGGGCAGGTCTGTCAGACCATGGGGTTTGTTAGCCAAAACTAAAACATTTAACGAAAGAGCACAATTTAGAAGCACTGTCCGTTTTCTCAGTGTCTTAGTCCTTTTCCACTTGTATCCAATGGATCTGGACTCTATCCTTCCTTATATTGCTGTTGTTAAACTCTTGATCTTGCTCGACTCCTCTCGGCATCACTTCAGGCTTTTAGTTTCCAAAAACAAGGAGGTTTACATGCCTGTGCTTTCTCTCTCTCTCTCTCTCTCTCTCCCTCTCTTTGTTCTGGGTGTTCCTGCCCTTTTCAGCAGATCTTGAACCCACCAGCCAATTTCAACTACAGCTGATGGAGGACGAGAAATCCAAGGCTGTTTAGGCTCCTGCCAGTTCCATGGGCATGAGTGGCTGCAAGCAACCACAGCAAAAGGGACACTTGCTGTCCCTGGCAGGACAGACTCCAAGAGGATTTGTAGAAGTGCCCTAGTGATGGAGGACTTAGTTGCTGTTTTCAAACTGGTGCAGACTCCTAGGAGACCAAATTCCTTTGGCCTTCCTTGGCTCCTGTCGACAAGAGCGTTTAAGAGCAGGCTGTGAGCCTTTTCAGAAACCATTTGCAGAAACTCTCAGGCTTTTTTTTTCCCGGAGTGATGAAAAGTTTCATTCTGTTGCCACTAATAAATCCCCCTCCCCTCACCAATTTTGTTTTATAAGTTTGGGTTAAGCTTTGTCTACTAAAGGGATCATACATAAAACACCACTTACTGAAATGTGATCTTTGCACATTTCTGAAGTTTTAATTTTCCTGCGGTGTAATCTTGTTACTTAGGTCATTCATTTTGTCACGCCTTGGTATCAGCCTGGTCCAGGTTTGGCTGCAGGGCTATGTTCTCCTGACATTTAGAGCAAGAATTCCCTGGGAAATCAGTCAAGAGATTTGACATTGCTGCTGGCCAAGCTCCAGTAGGTTTAGTTTTACTCTCCTTCTCTATTTATTGTGGAATCTGTCTGTCCACAAGCTGCACATTGAGTTCTGTGCTAGAGAAGGAGAACTAAAAGGGACAAAATGGCCATTCATTTGGGGGATTCATTCAGGCTTTTCAGAAAGGATTTACAAGAAGCTGTGCACTTAGATGACTGCTGAGCTTCCTTAGCCCTGCTCTATTACCTCCCTCACAAGACAATTTGGATTGAGTGCTTTTTCTTTGCCCTCTCCCCCACCTCAGTAGGCTTCAATTACTACTGGAAAAGCAAAATTAAGAACGAGGTAGCACAGGAACCACCTGGAGGTTTTTCACCTTTAGAAACAGTTTAATTTGAACGTGGCATGGACAGACCTTTTGCTTGGAGAAAAAAACCAACCAAACAACAAAACAAAACAAAAATCTTTTTCTCTTCTCCTGCCACAAATTGCTGCAGTGTCAGTTGCAAAAAGCTGCATCAGTGGCACAACCCGGCAGAATTTGAGAACTGGATAGAAGGTGCAGGAAAGCTGCCCTGGGCACTCATGGGAGCACAGGAAAGTTAGAGGAACAGCCCCAGGTCAACTGGAAATAGAGAAGTAAGGTCTCTTGTGGAGGGGGCAGTGTCATGCAGCAGTAGCAGCACAGAGCAAGATGCAGTCAGCTCTGAATGTGCCAGGAGGGAAAACCAGCCCATCATGCTGGTGGTCTGTATACTGGGGATGTGTAGCCTTAGCCAGTGGGACCAAAGATTTATCTAACTTTGCTATGTGAGACACTGAAATTCAGTTAAGCATCACAGATTTTATCAGCCACAGAAATTGCAGTACTCGGTAAACATCCAGCCATGCTTTCCTGACCAGTCTATGTTGCTGTCACTTACAGTCCTTCTGCTGTTTCTAAGCTCCTCAGCTCGATATGCTCAGCTTCTTCCCTCACCACCACTTCAGGCTCCTACAGAAATTAAGCTCAGTCAAAGAATTGTGGAGTTCAAGACTAGATAGCAACATAACATGTTCTGTTTAACTTTGTATATTGTAGACCATTTCACTTTACCTCAAGACACATTTACTGAGTTCAGTAACTTATATTTGGTTAAATATATTTTGAAAAAGTATCCTTGCTTAGATTTGAAAACTCATGGGAAAGAAAATCCACCCATTCCCTTGGTAGCTTATTCCCAAGACTAATAATTTTCATGACCAAAAATGATCTTTGTCTCTAAACTGAGTTTTTATGAATTCATATGCCATATGCTGCTTCTTATTATGCTGTTATCTGCCAGATTAAAAAGCCTCTTATACTTCTACTGTGTCCCCATGAGAATACTTACATAATGTGAGCAATTCAACTCTTCATCATCCTTTTTATAAGCTTAGCAGACTGAGCTCTCAGTCTCTCCCTCTAAAGAAAATTCAGTAACTTTATTTTTTTTCAGGTCTTGTTTGTGCCTTCACCACTTTTTCAGCATTCTTTTTAAAATGCATATTTAATATTTGTCTCCCAGAAGATGCATTCTGAAATAAAGGCATTTCTTTTAGCACACCTGGGAATTGAATTAGTCATTCTTGCCACAGTATTGCATTGAAGAAGCCTTCTTTCTTGCTCTTTTACAGTAGCTCCTGAAACCTTCTGGGGATATAGCCCTCATTCTATAGATAAGTCTTGTTTCACTCTGAGGCACGCAATTTTGCAGACATTCTGTCTGACAGGCATCACAATATAGGACAGTCCAGTCTGCTGTGTTTGGCCATCCTTTTCTCTATCTACTGATTTAAGTCATTTTCAAACTATACTGGCAGTGATTCTATATTTACTTCCAGACTTACCTGCTGAAGAAAACCCTAAAACACAAGAGGCCTCACAGTCATCCCTTCAGATCCCCCAACAGCTGCCATGATTAGTATATTAAGTACTTTCAGAGATCTCTCAGCCAAGTCTGAACCCATTTGCTGTTCTGTGGCTAATGAACAGTGATAATGCTCTAAGCAGATATAACTCAGTATAGCAGCAAAGAAACACTGAAACACATTGCTCTGTTCAGCTACCTCTGTCAACAATTATGGGAGTTTAAAAATGAAATTGTATTGTTCATCTTCTTTTTCTTGGGCAAGGCTGAGCCTCAGTGGTGTATATTTGACTTATGGCCAAATGCTAGGAATTTGCTCTTTGTCCAAGTTTTTTTTTTTTTTTTTTGTTTTGTTTTGTTTTGTTTTGTTTTGTTTTATTTTTTTTTCCTCCTGTATACAATATAATGAAAATATGTATAATACATACACAGCTTCACAGTCATAGGATTTATATATCTAACGGAAATGTATGCCATGAATGGGCTTATGCAGCACATTCCAAGAAAGACAATTTTGCTTCAGATCATCCAGGTTATCTTTGTGGATTACTACAGTAACTGTTGTCTTAATACTATGTATTTTACAGGGGTTATCTTCCCTCTCAACACTAATACCTTCTAAAAGCTAAAACCTCGGGGCCCAGATGTGAAGATGTTGATCCTTTTCCCATGCACTGGTGCATCTTTCATTGAACTAACCAAAAAAGGAGGATCTGACTATGAATATTTACAAGTTCTTTTGTCCATAAGCTTCTAAAGAAAACCTGACAGCATGTTTATCTCAAAATCCTTTATAGAACAGTAACTTTATTTCTGACAGATTTTTGTGTTTACAGCTTGGAAAAACCCCAACACATCAAGCTAGAGATACAGGTGCTGCATTTTTACTGGACTAGGAGAAAGGTTTCAAACTTGGAAATGGCAATTGGAGCTATTCAATCCCTTAATTAAAAATAACACAAAAATACATTTATTGCGGAAGACTTTGGGGATAAAAGTATTTTTTTTACTTATTTGCAGACTTAATATAGAATAAGTAGTCTGAGACCATTCTTCATGGCTTACCTTTTTAAACTTATCAGTCACCTCTTTTCCTGCATTCATGTTTTAGATAGATAGCCTTGCTATAAGCTGCTGTTTAAAGTGGATTTCGTGAGTTTTATGGAGTAAACTATTTTTGTGTGGGTAGGTATTGTACTGAATTAGTGTCTGTGAAGGAGACAAGGGTGGTGGGGACTCCAAAGCAGGGGGTTGGAACTTAGAAGATTTTAGAAGATCTTCAAGGCTCTCTTCAAATGAAAACTATTCTGTGATTCTAGGACACTTCTCCAGGTCAAAATAGTCTGAACCCTGTTAAAAATAGATGTAACTTTCTAAGAATGCTTGCAGAGAAAGGGAGATTTCTGAGGGGTTTATGGTTTAACGTGGCCCCTTTTGTGAAAGCTTAACATATCCAATTCCCATCTGATTTTCAGTGTCACCCTGCACACTTGACTGACACGAGCACATTTGTCTCACTCGCAGCATGGCAGAACCAACACACCAGTGAAAGGGATTCTTTTCAGCTACACGCCTCACTGGCACCGTGATCCCCAGTGCTCCCACTGTGGCTTGGCTGGTTCTTGCGGTGTGGGAGGGGATGGAAAACCACCCAGCCTGGGTCTCCGTGTTGCAGAGTGAAATTTGCAGAATGGTCTCTTCAAAAATTAGTTTTGACTTCCAAACCAAACCTATTTAGTACAAAAGGCACAGGAGGGCAATTCCACGCAGTGTCACAATGCAATTTTTGTTGTGCAATGTCAGAAATTTGTAACTCATTCTTAAAAGGTCAGCCTGATTCCATGTGCATTGCCTCAAAGAGTTTTTCTCTCTATACCTGAGTAATTGTAGATTCTTCCAAGTATCCAAAATCATGAAGAGGTATAAAATGCATATACCTTCCCTTCCCTTCCCTTCCCTTCCCTTCCCTTCCCTTCCCTTCCCTTCCCTTCCCTTCCCTTCCCTTCCCTTCCCTTCCCTTCCCTTCCTTCCCTTCCCTTCCCTTCCCTTCCCTTCCCTTCCCTTCCCTTCCCTTCCCTTCCCTTCCCTTCCCTTCCCTTCCCTTCCCTTCCCTTCCCTTCCCTTCCCTTCCCTTCCCTTCCCTTCCCTTCCCTTCCCTTCCCTTCCCTGTTTGATTGATTGGTTGATTGATTTAGTTTTTTTATTACTTTTATTTTTTACTCAGGTGATGATGCTCAAGCAGAACAAAAATCAAGGCTTGGAGGGGAAAATGATCACCTGAATTACAGGCAAGTGTAATTTATTGGGAAAAATGGAGATTTTTAAGCCACACAGAGAAAACAATGTGAATGTAAAACAGTAGGGATCATAGTGTAGCCCAAGCAACTGGAAAAATGTGTGAGAGATTTCTATCATGATCCTGAGCAAGATATTTTTAGACAGTAGTCTGCCCTGATTAAGTAATGAATAAATAAAAGACAAATCTTTCCCCACTCTTTCTTTGTGTGCAGAAGATACTGAAAGTCCTAGACTATTTCAGAAGTTTGGGCACACCATTGATTCACTTGGGTTTTGTTATGAGGCCAAAAAGGGAAAAGGAAAAAAAAAAGCCTGTGAAACCCTATAACTGTCCAGTCTCAGTGGTTTTGTTACTGTGCCAAAATAAGGGGCCAAGGCATAATAGCACTAGAAAAGCTCACTTGCTGTAGATTTTACATAACAAGTTCTCAGCTTCTCTCATTCAGCCTGTGCCTGTTTCGGCAACCAAGGCAGCACAGAGAGCAGATTTTAGCTGTAAATGTGTCAGTGGGTAGAGCTTCTTTTCCTTTGGTAAATTAAAGCAATGCCTTGGTGCTTGGGGGCCAAGGGTGGCACAGAAAGTAGAATTGAAAATTCTAGAAAGAATCTCAGAAAATGTACCAAAATATTCCTTCTTTTTCTCCATGTCTTGCTCAGAAAGGTATGGGTTTGGCAAAGAAGCTTCTGCTGCTTCCAATTATAAGTATGTTTAGGGGTATGTTTTTTATACTAAAAGTCTGTTAAGCATGGCTTCCTAATAACTGGGTTCTTCAGCAACACTTAGGAGTATCCCTTAGGGCCATCCTGCTTTTCAGGGTGGCATTTGCAACTCCCAGCGATGTGCCTGGCAGCAGCAATGGCTCAGTCCACCTAAAAAGTTTTGCCTCCTAACTTGCAGGTTGAGTAGCCTAACATATATCAGCTTAAGCTGAAACTTTCAGTCTTAGCATCACTTTAAAATAAAGCAAGGCAGCAAATAAATTGTGGGCCAGATTCTGCTTGGTAAGAGTGCTTCCATTAGGGGAGTTTCTGTAGTCAGGGGCAGTGCATTGTCTTGGACCCACTGTAGAGTCCACTAGGCTGGAGACAAACAATAAGATACAGAGAGAAACAGGACCCCTGTTGGCAGCAAGTCTGAGACAGAGAAAAATCTTATCTAACTTTGGTTTGGTGTTTGTGTGTTCTCTGCTCTTCAGGAGGACCTGCAGGGATCATGAGGATTTCGAGAAACATCATCCTCCCTTGGAGCTGAGCTTTTGCTCTGCTGCAGCCTCTGAGTACTTTGATCAGAGATACAATAGCAAAGCTGCAATTTATTATTGTTCATTGTCACCTCCAGCCACAATTAACATTTCCCCTTCTCATTAGAGCTTTTTCCTCTGTCCCTCTTTTGTTTCATGTTTTTTTTCTTTCTTTTTTTTTTTTTTTTTTTTTTCTTTTTTAGGAGAATAGCAGAAGTCATAGCAAAGGTGACAGCTTGTGTCTGTGGCTTGGAGTGCACTTTGGGGAAAACACCATAACTTCCTTGAAAGCAGACAGATGCTTTAAACCCTGCCTTCTTCCCCACCCCATGAAGTGTCCCACCAGGAAATCTCCTCCCAGAACCCACATCTGTACCCATGACCAGAAGCAGGTGCAGCTGGCAAACTGCAAACCCATAGGGGTGGCAGGATTTCAGAAAGGGATGGAGAAACATGGGTCATATACTGGATACTGGGTCATGCAGCTCTGGTGCTTAGGACAAGGCAGGAGTTTGCATACCTGGATGGGATCCACTGCTTCTGCAGAATCCTCTAGCTGAGCATCACTTCATTTACAGCTACTGTAGTAAAAGAAATACTACAGTACTTATTTACACCAAAATAAAACACTTTCTCTTTCATCTGGGCTCTGAATAAATAGAGACAACAAGATTTTCACCCGGTCTGCTCTCCCAAAGGAACCAGAGGGACACTTTCCCCTGGTCAGACATCCTGGCACTGGTTTTATGCTGAGGCAGTGCCTGGATAGGCTTGACAGATGCACAGTGTTTTGAGACAGAGCTTGCATTCTTAAGGCTGCCAACTGCCCAGAGCAGAGATGAATGATGTGTTTCTCGGCTGGGGCAAAGCCGGGAAGTCCCCAGCTCCGTCCAAGCCATTGGAAATAATGCATAAGGAAAGGCAAGGAACATCCATGAGTTAAATTCCTTACTAATACCTAATTTCTAACCACTGCTCTTTAGCCACACAGTTTAATGATTTTAGGAGAAGACACATGGTATAATTTCCTTCCATTTATAGGACTACTTTACCAGTGGGGATACCAATGCAGAGAGCATTTCATGTTTGTCCAGCAAGTGCATGAAATCACAGAACCTGGATGAAGATCCCAGACCTCTCCATCACTCCAGCCACAAGCAGAGCTACATCTAACATTGAAGAGATGTGTGGAACTCACTTCAATTAGCTGCATTGCCAAAAGCACAAATGTTCTCCCCTAAAACAAGTATGAATGATATGATAGCCAAAAAATCTATGACATTCTCATTAAGCTAATTAATATGACTGCTTCTTGAATCTACCCACTTCTGCACATTTCTGAAGGAAAAGCAGTCTCAGGTATCTGGGGATATAAACAGATGTCCTTTGCTAAATCAGAGAGTTCCACCTCCCAGTAGTGTATGTGCTTGCCCTGCCCTGTGAACTGTACATTAATTGGTTGATACAGGACAGGTGCATCCATATTTTTAAGAAATATAGTGATTTATGGTCAGATTTCAGACTTTATGTTCCAAGACCAAATTAATATACTTTTTAAGGCATCACAGGAGTTATAAAGTTGATAAATTTGTATTAGCAATACAGTTGAAAAGACTTTTCTGATGCATTGTTAGCCTTAAGGCGCATACAACAAAGATGTTTATACATGACCTACATATACAATAAAAAGCTCTAGAAAAATATTTTCCTCTCAGACTTACTTACACAGAGTGTCATATTGCAATTTTCAGTTAAATTTAAACTACATTTAAAATTAAAGCAGTGATCTCCAGTGACACATCACCAAGACAGCACAGCCTGAGGCAGGAGTAGCTCCAATAAATTTGGCCTTTCGGGGGAATTCCACCAGAGGACATTTCCAGGAGAATGTGCTGTGTTTGATTGCACTGTGGTTGCACACCTCTGACTTCCAGCAAGCAACAGTTTAGCAGCAATTTTAGAATAGATGGGCACAGTGGCTATGTCTGAGCTTTGCAAGCCGAATTCTGCCTGGAAAAAAGAAGCTGCCTTATATTGATGTATATATCAGAATTCAGCAATGCACACCTATGAAGTTTAATTCTTTTAAATTTGTTTATTCTTTAAAAATTTTGGTTTTATTAATACTGATTCATTTTAGAAGAAAGGCAGGTGTAGAACATTAGGTTCCAAAAACCAAATTTTAATTTCAGGAGGGATGCATGACTGTCTGGTGTTTGGAACAGACACATGAGTCAAAGGAGCACCCTCCTGCCACGCCAGCCCTCCCACAGACTCCCTGTAATGCCTTTACAGCACATTTTACTTGCTCTGACAACTGACCTGCATTAGAGAAGTGCTTAGAGATCTTCAAATGAAGAAATGTTCATAACTAAAAAGCATTTACTGTAATGAAGCCCCTTAAAAGAGGCTCTGCATGCCACAGCTGATCTCTAGTGTAGATGTAATCGCACTGAATGTTGTGGAGTGTCTTTTCATTCCTCTTCTGCATACATTATGTATAATTTTCTGAGTAAAACAAACATCTGTGCACAGTTGTGGATATGAGATTTTATGCTAGTTATGGTGGATGACCTTCAGCTTTTGTTTTGCCCAGGATTCTTACAAATATAAACAAAGTTACAATCCAGCCTCCCACTTTGACCTTTTAAATTTTACTTTTAAAAATAGAGGTTATCATTTATGCTGCAAATTATGCCTTTATCTCTTATAATCCCATAAGTCAGATATCACAGTCCCACTTCAATTATGCTAAACTCTTATGTTAATTTTAAATCATGTAACTTAATTCCTGGCAAAGCAGGCTGGTGATTTTCAAAATGTGGTTAATGAAGCAAAGTACAATCTAGATTCTGCTACTGAGATAATCTGAATCCCTTAGGTCGCTGAACATGACTATGGAGAGGGTCTTCTTTACAAAAGTCTGGGTTAGATTTTCAAAAAATGAATTTTTAAGTGCAGTTAGGGGCTATGAAATTTGAAGTTGAATGTACAAAGAAGTTGAATTACTTTCACTAGAGCCATAGAACAACAGTGCAGCTAAAACAATTACACTTCTGTGCACATACATGCTTTAAAAGCCTTGACTAGTGTCCTCCCCTGTTAAATCATAAATGCAAACCATACCAGATTTTCAAGATGACAGTCTGGGGACCTGTCCCCAGACATCCATGTCCATGTCCATGGATGTATGCAAATCAATGTCATTTTCCCTATCATTTGCAGAAACCAAACATTTGCTAATAATTTCTTTCAACTCCCTCCTTGACTCAAACAGTAGCTTTATCTAAGACCTGCTAGTAGATGAAATCTTATGAGACTGTGTAGCTTTTTCAATGCAATTAAAGCTGCCCCCGAAACCTCTGTCATTCTCTGATCAGATAGGCAGAAAGTTTGCCACTAAAATGAACTCAGTGTGAAGCTTAAGTTCTTCAGAGTCTTTGTAATTTACTACTAATAATTTATTTTTCTGAATGAAAGTATTCATACCAAACTCATTTATAAATTTGCCTCCATTCTTCATTAGCATGTTGCACTTTTTTCCTCATGTGCTTTTTTGAAAATACTAGTACCACTAGTGTGCCATTTTTTCTGTCTATAAATTATCAGTTAATTAACACACATCCACAACAGACAAGACAATGCAAATATTGATGCCCAAAGGTTGGTGGATATTTATTTTTGAGTTAAATTTACTATATTCAGTTATCTTCCTATAAGGCAAGAGATACTCACTCAGGATTTGAGGTTGAATCCAATACTTACAAGAGCAGAGAATCTAGAGGTCAAACCAAGGTCAAATCCAAGGCAGTTTTCACATGATTTAGAAGGTTGCACAGTACAAAATCAAAACTTTCAGGAGGTCTTCTTTAATAGTCCTGAGTTGCAAGATGTGCTGTGGAGCCAACAGGAAAACCAGGAGGGATTTCTGACAGGGAAGGTGGGAGTTGAGCACCATCCTGTGTTAAAAGGGGGAGATTTTTGTTCACCTGAGGAGAAACATGCATGGGGGAGGTTCAATTGCAGATATCCCCTCCCAAACACTTCTGGGTGTTAACACCTGTAGGTCCACCCATGCACAGCAACAGCTCACACAAGTAGCAATGTGTGTGTTTACCTGTCCAAGGCATCCTTGCAACCTCTCACTGGTGCTCAGCAAATGCATCTCCCCACACCTCATGCTGATGGATGGCTTTTTGCTTCTCCTCATTGCTCCATGGCCCCAGGAACAGGACAGTTTAAGCTATAGGTACTGCTAGCCTCAGACAGCACAACCCCATGCTTGGGCTGCCCAGTGTACTTTTACCTTTTCCCCTTGGAGTGGCTTGTCCTGCCGCCAGGAGAGATGTGCAGAACCTGTTGGATTACGCTCTGGCACCATGGAGACCGGAGGTGGCTTTTTTTCCTCTTCTGAGGAGAAAATTTAGGGAGAATCAAGCAGTGAGGGTACCTAGGAAAAAAATCTGACCTTTCAATTGAGACCCACAATTATTCCTGCGGAAGGACTGAATCTGTACATCACACTTTGCCTTAGATGAAGGAAAAGACAACAGTAGTAGCATTAGTTGTGACCAATGGTTGTGAACAGAGGAAAAGGACATTTTACTTGCATCACTTTCTCATCAGGCTGTTTCTTCACCCTACATCGAGGCACTGGAGCAAGACACACCAAACCATTCCAGAAAGAAAGGCATAGGGGACATCTTTATTGTGGAAGGGAATAGAGATTTTTCCCTATCCATTTTAGAGATGTAGTCTAGTGATGGACTTGGTAGTGTTAGGTTAATTGTTGGACTCGATGACCTTAGAGACTTTACAATAGTTCCATGATCCTGTGATTTTGCAGAGATTTCTCCTCCTCCTGGGATACCCTGGCCCACCCACTGGGCAAGACAGGCTGCAGGAAGAACTGCATGTTTTGGTCAGGCAGCACTTGTGGGAGGAGAGGGAAGGGAAGGGTAGAAGGTATCTTTTCCTTTTCAAACCAGAACTGTGGGGTTCTGGACACATCTTCCTCTAGGACAAATCACCAATACACATTACACCACATAAAACTGCACCATGCACTCCATTCCTTGGGCTTGGGGACTGCTGGCAAGGCAGGCAGAACAGCAAAACACAGGTGACTTCAGGAAGCTGTGGGGGCAGAACGAGTTTATAGGTTTGGGAGGCAATAGGCACACACACCTTCCCTGTAACAGATTGCTGGGAGCTGGGCAGATAACCAGACCCCAGCAGACCCAGAATGGTCATAGCAGTTGCATTGAAATTGCTTCTCAGTACAGACCTTAGAATATCCCAGAGCTGCCAGGTTGAAACTGGTCCATTTTACCAAAAATGAAGACTACCATGAATATTGAGACCACCGTATGCAGGTATAATATGCATCCATTGTGCATTTGTTGCCGTGCGAGACTGGCTCCGGGCGGGCGCCTGCGGGCACGGTGAGAGGAGGGGAGAGGCGGCAGCCGATTTTCCCCCTTCGGCTCTGCGAGGCTCAGTTCTAGCGCGGGAACAGACGAAATGGCGACACGGGGCTCGGGCGCAAACACGCGTTTATTGTAGAAGCGTGTTCCCGAGACACTGGGGCACCAACCGAGGGTCGGTTATAACCCGTGCCAGGGGTGGAGGGGAACCTGAGCTGCGGCCAATGGGACGGGGGGCAGGGAAACCCCGGAGACCCTGGGGACAGCGATGGGAAAGGTGGAGGGGGGGAAGGGACAGACCGCGTGGTGAGGGGGAAGGCGGGGGCGGGGGGCAGGGGCCAGACTGCGTGGCGAGGGGGAAGGACAAGGGAACGCAGCATCCGGACAAGGATCCCCATGGGGGGATGGGGGATGGGGGGGAAAGAAGAGAAAATTACAAATCCCGCAGTGCATTAAAATTTTAATTTTGTTGAATGCAGCAGCTCTCTGAAAGAAGGGTCATACTTGTCAATTCCAGTGCATCAATCAAAATGAGGCAGTGGACTGGTCCTTCACAGGTTTACCCAAATCTACTCTGCTCATCAGCTGAGCTGCTGTGTCATTTTTAGTTTGATACGTTTGTATTCAAGAGTGTCCTTCAATAAAAAAGTCAGGTCTAAAATTGGCTACAGTCTAATAGTAATCCAAAAAACAAACCTTGCAACTGAGAACACTGTAAACATTCTAAAAAATTAGCCAATGATTCTTTATTAATAAGTGACAGAAAGTAAAAATACATTCAAAAGTTTTTTCAAAACCCATTTCTAAAGCAAACACACCAAAAAAAGAATCATGCCACTCCAAATTTTTTTTTAAACCATTAAAAGAACATTAGGTAAGCTAATGCAACAGCTGTCTGAGCTACTGCTTCCATAATATAATCCATAATGGTAAAAACAGCTTTTCCAGGCATTTTAGTGCAATTTATGCTGTTTGCAGGTCTTTTTTTTCTTTGCATCCTCCATAATTTAGTATCAATTGATATCACTCTAGCTTATAAAATCCCCACTAATTCAAGACAACTCTACTTATCAGTAACTTTGTTTCCTTTCAGGGCTAATATCAAAGTAGTTGTTTTGAATCCCAACATGATAAGTACCTAATAGAAGCCTGAAGCTATTCTAGTGCTCTACAAGTGGTGATGTATAATTGAACATTAAGTAATCCAAGTAATAGAAGTCATAGGTCAGCTGTCTCTCCTCCTTAGACAATTCCTTTAAATATTGCCTCACTACTTCTGTACTTGTTCGCTCATCAGAGGAATGTCTGTCTTTGAATTTAGGGAACTTCAGATTGGCTGGAGCACCTACCAGCTGCAGAAAGTAATTGGCATCTTCTTCCAGGGTTTCAAACTTTCCTATAAAATCATAGTTGATGAGGCAGGGATAGCAGAGCTTACTGACTTGCTCCCAGTGAATGTCCATTCCTATGGGCCGGTGGGAATCCAACAAATACTGGATAAACTCCTTGAACTTAACTCCCGATCCTGTTTTCAGTGCTTCTTCATCTGCATTATGTCTATACTTTTTTATTATTGCCTTCCCAAATACAGGATGGTAATAGCTGTTTGGATGTTCAAACTTATCCCTGAAGGCAGACACCAGTCTTTCCATAGGATCGCGTACAAATATAAACTTGGTGTACATGTTCAAGCGTGTGTAGATCCCTTTTAGGTCATAACTGTCCAATTTCCTTAGATGTTTTCCGTAGTGCACATCATCATGGGAGATGTTGTTTGCTGAAGCAGCGAGTCCACTGAGCACCATGAGGACCCTTTTCCAGTTGGAGCAGCCTGCTTTTGGCACTTCACAGTACAAAAGCTTGTGCCTGTCCTCTACGTAAATTCTTGACACCAGGTGCACCAGATGGGTTTGCAGCTTCTTTCTGCTATTGTGTTTCCCACAGAAGCCCTGCAGGAAGGCCCTGCGCTTTTCCTGGGTGCTGTCTATGTCCTGCCACTCACCACCCTTGACAAATGTCTTGTTTAATGTGTGCAGAGCAGGAGGTAAATACACCCCTCTGAACCAGCTGAGAGGGGACTCACTCGTCTTCTTCTGCTCAGGCAGCCGGCTCCTCGAGGAGGCAGCCACCACACCGAAAGGGTCAGCCCTGCCCTGCCAGTGCCTGCTGCTTGAGACAGCCATCTCAGGGTTACTGAGGCCCACAGGAGCAATTCTCCTCCATGCTGCTTTCCTTGGCATCCCCAGAGGCTGGAGTGTGAAATCCTGCAAACATGGAAAGGATCAGAGCTTAGGTTGCAGCAGCAGCAGCAGGGATGGTGGGGTGTGTTTGTAACCAAGCCACACCTGGTACTACCAAGTCCCTTTTAAACCATTTGATCAATACACCTAATTTAGGAACAAGTTTGGCTAATTACGGAAATACATGCTTCTGAAGATTACCTGTTAGCACACAGTAGGTCTTCGTACAAAAATAAATAGCTCAAGTCACACCTCTTATGAAATCAAAAATGGTTCACATAGAGGGGTTGATAGTCCTGGTAGGGGTGGACAGGCACTTTTCAGTACTGAACACATTTTCCCCTGTGACACCAATGGCGCTGGTGGAGTTGCACGGTCATTCTCTGGAGTACACTGGCACAATCACAGTTACAGGTGTTGGATCTACTCCCACTACTGAGACTTGGAGCAGCCCTTTTCCCCCAGTGGTAGTAGGGGACAAAACCAGGGCCCCTAAACAGTTGACATCTGTTGGTTTGAGCAGGGTGTAGTGATAGACCAAATTGTCTCTCCAAAATGGTCCTACTCCTACCTGCACACAGAGAGATGATGGAAGTGGATGCACTGGATTGAATGTACGTACAGGTGTCTGTGACACAGATGCCTGCCCCTGAGCTGCTTTCACAGCGGATAAGGAAAAATAGATGCCTTTGGAGCCTATTCCATCTGACTTATTTAAACATCAACACTTATAACACCAACTAACTAAACATTAACTAGTGACCCTGCAAAGAATGTGAAAAGATGAGACTTTCCTCCTAAGCATCTCTCTGTATGTCCCCAGCCATTGTGCAATCCACAAACTGCAGGAACAGCTAAGCTTGCATCTGTTTTGATGAGTCTTGTATCATGGAAGTTGTGTAAAGAGTTTCTTAAAATATGGGTACTTCTGCTCACTCATTCCTCAGTGGATTCTCATGTGTCTGCTAAGCCTTGTAGATTTTTTTCTCCTGTTAGTAGGCAAGCCTGCTGCATTGGGATGCTTCTACAGCTGCTTATTTTCATTACACTTCTGAAGAGGAAGGATGCTGATAGACAGGTTTTTAAGCATCTTGTTGCAAGTAACAGAAAAATAGAAAAATGGTTAGGTGGACAGACAAGGACAACTATGTGACTGCTTCCATGAACCTAACATTTTTGGAAATCTACATAAAAAGGCTTTTTTAGCATAAACTGATTAAACATTTACTGGAAAGTTGATTTGTGGACTGGCAGATCATACATGTGGATTTGAGGGGATGATAAAGTTCA